GCTTTATACTTCAGGTTTTAGCACCCATAAGCCACAAATGTGAGCTATAATCAGCACATGCAGGACATATTTACATGTTCCTGCAGGTTGCTCGATATTCAGATTTTCTTTATGATGTGTTGTGATGAACTGAACACAAGGACAAAGTTTAAACTCCTTCTTTTTTCTTTTTTTGCCTTTTTTGTCACACGCTTATTGATAGCCAAGATGCTAAGTATTTGTCTCTAAGCACATGGTTTCATCATCAGTTCACCACACGCTTAGTGCAATGTGTAATCTGAGTCGCACACACACACACAAATATTGGTACCATCCCATGGGAAAGGATGCAAACACGCACACCTCAATTATCCTGCTCACACACACCCTGCAGTCATTAGAGTCGAGAGTGTGTCATTTCGACTTGTGATTTATACATAAGACTTAGTCATGATGTAATTAGTGATTAGGGGAAGTGTGTGGGTGGTGTGAGTTCGTAGCTTGACTCATGTGACTTTTAATCCTCAGCGTTTCCCATGTTGAGCTTTTGCTGGCGTTTTTGCATCTCTTGCTCGGTATAAGTGGCCAGTTGTTGGTCATTTGCGGAGACTTTAGATTTTTAATCAGTCTGAAAGACAAAGCTGTTGCTTAATGGTTCAAAAATTTTGGGCTAACCCCATGAATGACTAATGTATTTTGTCAAATTGTCTCTGTGTCAGAGTATGATCTCAGCAATCGTCAACAGTTCCTTCTATGCCAACGTCTCCACCTCCAAGTGCCAGGAGTTTGGACGCTGGTACAAGAGATACAAACGCATCAAAGGTAACTCTGAAGCCTTACTCACATTATCAGGTAGCTGAGTGTAATTAAGGCAGCCAGCTTCCTTTTTTTTTCTTTCATTGTTAAGCAAGCTATATCTGCAAACTAGCCTCAAGCTGGGCACAGATATTCCTGCCCTAAAGTGCTAAAGTGAAGGTGCTCAGTGGGAGACTCGTCAGTATTTTTCTGATTATGGAACAGTGTTGCATATATTTGTTGGCTGTCAGAGACAACAGCATGCAAAGTCTAATGGGACCACAATGTAGTTAATTAGCTGCAGCTTGTGTGCTCTCACTTAGATTATGACAACTGAATGCTTTCTAAGGCCCAGGCTGAAATGCTACAGTTTGAAGCAGGAATGAATTTGTCCCTAATTATCCTTTTTAAAAATTAATAATGGCATTACGGTTGTAAATTGGCTTTATGATTTACCAAATGATTCCCCTGGTTTTACTAATGCTGTTGTTTTAAAGTGGAGCAATGTTTAAGACAAGATAAAGGCTGGTGTGATTTTTAAAAAGGTCACCTTAGTGTTTTTCCTGCTCCGTGGTGAAGAAGCTCATTACGTGTGTCTTTGTCAATAGGATCCATATTATATATATATATAATTATGACTTTGTCAGGGAATCTCCAAAAGTTGATTCTGTTCATCTGGACGTAGCATTTTGTGGGAGAAACGTTTCGTCACTCATCCAGGTGACTTCTTCAGTCTCAGACTGCAGGTTTCCCCAAATCTTATAAACAGTAAATTTGCATAATGACTGAAACCAGCCCACTGAAGGAACAATGGACTGGGAGGTCAGGGAACCACTTTGTACAATGTGAAAATCTCTGGGTGGTAATTTTCCACTGTGAACACTTTTGTCTCAAAGAAATGTAACTAATGATGTTGTTAACGGACTGAAACAGACATAGTTTCATGTCATTTAAACTTTAACGGTAAATTCTGTTTTCGTTCCTCGACTCTCAGAGTTGAAAATATCCTTAATTATCTTTAATAAAAATATAAATAAGGATATTTTCAAAAGTGGAAACTACACCTGTACCTTATAGGAACTATGTCTGCATTTATCGGTTGCGTTATTTGAAAATGTAGCCATCTTTAATATGAGCATTGGTTATTGTAACAGTCTATATATTTAATAAAATACAATAGAATTTAATAGAAACCCAAATAACAGGAGAGTTTTGTTGACCTTTAACATTAGAGCAGGTTTTAGGTGAGAGTGTGAAGGTGTTTCCCCCAGAGGTTAAATCAGAATAGCTGATGCTTGTTTTCCCGGGTTGATTCCACACATGCTTTTCCTGCCACAACAAGTAAAAATGATGAACACGATAATGAGGTCATCTTGCAATCTTTTTGTTTGTTTGTTTTAAAGGAAAGCTGGTGACTAAAATGATATTTTTTACGCAGCAGTGAGCAGAAATGTGGCCACACGTGGGTTTTTTGAGTGCCGGATCCTTGTGTGTATGTACAGTTCTGGTCCTCACTGCCAGGTGTTGCTGCTGCAATGTAGTGATTATATTCTGAGTCTAGGTGTGTGGCTTTTGGTAACCTCCCGGTTAAGTGTCCCCCTCCTGCCTTGTTAAAAACTTTTACAGTTTTTTGAACAACTCTCCTGAACCTCAGCCACCAGCTGTTCGGCTGTTTATACTTTATTTGCTTTCTGCTGCTTTGAAAACTCATAAAGGTAAAAACTGACAGACACTTTTTTTTAAAAAGAAGGAACTGACACTTATTGCTAGTCACATCTCAAGTTAATATGACTCACCTGCCTTAATGCCTTCGTTATGTGATCCTTTCTAATGAAGCTTTTCCATTCTTCTGTCCACCCCCTGTATGTGTCTGAGCACGTGTGCCAGCCTCTGTGTGTCTAATCTGCTGCATGAGACGTCTGTCAGTGACAGCTCTCAGTAGGAAGGAACTGTCACACATGGTTCACATTAATGTCACCCTTAATACACATGACAAAACTAAATGCTCTTAACTCCTAATGGAAAACAGCAGTAACCTCCCCTCCCCCCGAACTCACACACACACCAACAAAACACAGGAATAATACTTATTACACACACACAAGGTAAAAATCTGATGCCCTGCCAAACCTTGCTGCAACTTTTTATTCCCTTAATAACCAAAAATGCGACACACGGCCAAACCGGAGTGGAAGCCTAACAAGAAGCAGACTTACGTGGAGAGGCTGTTAAAATCCAGGGAAAGAGAAAGAAAAGAGTTCAGAGGAAACATTCTTCACTTATTTATAATCTTATCTGGTGAATATGGAGACAGAAAGTGAAAATAAGGCGATACTTCAGCCGAGGTTGTGATCAGATCGTCCCACGAAGACTAGAATTATAGTTGAGATGTTCACACTTTGAAATGATACACTACAGTTTTGTGACTTGGAGCAAAATTTTGTGGTAGTCTTGACTCCGGGTCCTGGACCTCTGGGGGTGCCATGACCTAATTTGAGAACCGCTGCTGTACGAACTCCTGGAAGGATCCCTGTAGGATCTCTCACAAACTCCTCTACTGTCACCACTGAGGCTTGGATAAAACCTGAGCCATTTAACTTTTGCTCACACTGTCTGATGTCAGAGTGGGATGAGAAACATGAAGCAACCGTTAATGGACTGGATACAGTGTAGATCATTTTTATAAGTAAAGCATCATTGAACTA